CCTCCGTACTGTCTTATCCTGACTATGGAACATCCTCCTGGCCATCCTCTGGGAAGGTGTGATCAGTGAAGGATGCGGTATTGAGACTCCTTTACCTCTGAGGGTCAGCCAGCCCCTGCTTCAGTGGAAGGTAGAGTGAGTGAATCCTTCCAGTTCTCAGAAGTGGCCGGGAACCAGGATGGGCCTGTATATCTAAGTCTCTAAAGAGGTTTATTTTAGGGAATGGGCTCACATGATTACAGAGGCTAAAAAGTCCTGAGATCTGTAGTTGGCAGGCTGGAGATCCAGGAGAGCTGATGAGGTAAAAATTCTAGTCCAAGGCCAAGTTCAAAGGCAGAAGACTAATGTCCCAGCCTGAAGATAGACAGGCAGAGGGACTGAATTCTCCCTTCTCAGCTTTCTTGTTCAATGCATGTCTTCACTGGTTTGGATGAGGCCCACCCACACTGGGGAGGGCAGTCAGCCTTGCTCAGTCCGTAGATTCAAGTGTTAATTCCATCCATAATGAACCTCACAGACACAACCGTAGCAATGCTTAATCTGAACATTTCATGGCCCAGTCAAATGGACACAAAAATTGACCATTATATATGGACTCTTGGATTCCTGTTTTCTATGATTTATCAGTTCGCTCTCCTTAATTAGGTTGATGGTTAAATTGTCCTGTATTTGCTCAGCCAGAGCACCTTCCTGCTAGCTGCTCTGGTGACACGTCACTGTGTCTGCTATCAGTGGCCTGCTCTCCTACTGGGTAATGACATCGTCTGTCTCTGTGCCCCTTGAGGCCCCCCAAGTGAATTTTTGTATGTGTTTTATAGCTTTTACATCAGACCATCCCTTAAGTATCTTTCAAAATTAGGGAGGACCTACCCAGACCTATTTGAGTGATGTGTTAATGGGCAGGTGGAAACTTAATATTCTTTATACTCATTTGTGCTTCCTGCATTTCCATTTGCAAGCGCATGAGTCATCTAATGGGTTGTTTCTCTGTAGTTTGCACTTTGCTGGCCAGACTGTTAATGGCTGAGCTGCCCAGGGGCGCCCTCTGCTGACAGTGCTGTGCATAATAACACTTTTCTGGGGTTGTGTGATGTGGATTTCTCCTGACAGTTTTCTTTCTTTTGGCTAGTTGGTCTCTCTTTCTTGCCAGTTATTACACATTTATGGATCATACAATACAGAGAATTTCAGAACCTTCTTTGTTTACTGAATACCTCAAGAATATCTTTCCCTGTGAAATATATACATGTCCACACCATCATGTTAATATTTGCATAATTTTCTATTTTATATGGATGTTCTATTTAGTATTTAAATAACCCACCGTTAGTAGGCATGTGTGCTGTTTTTCTTCCATTTCAGGTAGCACTGGAATGGACATCCCTTGTATGTATACCATTCATGGGTGACTTATAAGTTGAGCTTGATAAGTGGGTAGGAATTTGACGGGTAGAAATACAAGGAAAAATGTCCCTAGTTTGAGAAAATCGTCTTCGCCAAGTTTAAAATATGTGGTGGGGGTAGCAGTGGGAAATGGTTGGAAATAGGACTTCTTCTACCGAAATAATAGACTCCAACTTGAACCATAAATGGAGTAACACAGAAATTTATTTGTTTATAACTGGGAAGTGAGGGTAGCTGGATTGAGGGGCTCAGATTCGGCTGCTCCATCCCTTACCTGTCGCTGTTTCTTCTTTGGTCCCTACCTAGTCTCAGCACTGGGTCTGTTTACCTGGGCAGAGAAAGTGCCCCCTGACCCCTGCAAACTGGCATGTGACCCCTGAGGTTACAGGGAGTCAGTTTCTCTCATTGCCGTTCCTGTGAACGTCAGGGAAGGCCTGTAGGTGGCACTGTTTAGGTCAGCCGTCTACCCCCAGGCCAGTGCCTGTGAGCTGGGGGTGGGGAGCCAGGACACAGGTGGGAACTGTGGGGGACTCCCCCGTGGAGCAGATGAGGTGGAGTTCCTCAAGGAAAGGAGGCACCTATACGTCAAGCAGCAGGCACCTATACGTCATAGGTGGGGCGGGTCTCTACCAACGCACTCCAGGTAGGTCTGCAAGGGGATGTCAGTGACTCACAAAGAGGAAAGGACACAAAAGGCATGGAGTGCAAGTTGGATGAACAGTTCTGGTGGCGCCCCCTTGGAAAACGGGGAGACTTGGAAACAATTTCTCTGAGCCCAGGCCTCTGTGACTCAGGATCTCGAACTCAGACACAGGAACATCATGGGGAAAACTGGTGAACTCGGTCTGGCCCCTGTTGATATTGAAGTACCTTTGGAACACCCACGTGGCAATGTCTAGCAGTTCAGGACCACATCTTTCCTGGTTTTTCCTCCGTTGGGCCCACAGCAGGAAACAAAAAAGAGCTGCCACTAAGTCAAAGGTTTTGCCCCCTTGCCTGGACTGTAGCAGTAGACTGTCTCCAAGGCCCCCTCTCTTCTAGCCTCTTTCTAGCTACAGTGCATCCCATACACCATTTCCAGACTGATCTTCATAAAGCTCTTTATCCTGTCGCTAGGTGGCTCAAATGCCTGCAGGGGCTTCTTTGCACATTGTATTAAGTATAAAAGTTTGTCACTCAAGGTCTTTAATGGTCTGTCCCTCAAACTACATTTTCACTTTTTGTATCTTACAATTTCTCCTTGGTACCTGAACCTTGAGTCACCTGGATTTCTGCCACTCCATTGCCATGTCCCACAGTTTCTCCACCTCTGGCCTCTGTTCCGCTTTCCTCACGTGCTAGAATGTCTTGGTGAGGATCTTCCTCATGTGCTAGAATGTCTTGGTGAGGATCTGACCCGGGAACGATAGCAAAGCAGCAGGCTGTTATATATTTGTCCTGAGATTGCAGGTAGAGTAGTAATTTCAGGTATCACTTAAATTCTAAATCCCCATATTTTATATGCAAGGCTTTCTTCGTTCCACGTTGATCAGAGCCAAACCTTCAGGGTGGGTACCACCATGGAGAATTGGTGCCCACCTGCCAGCGAGGATGAAGACACAGAGGGGCTGGTGTGCGTGCCATTCTGTGTGTTGCTGCTATAGACTCAAGAGCTGGGAGGAGAGAGGGCTTCCAGGAAGAGGAGGCGTTTCTGCCTGGGTCTTGAAAGATGAATGACTTTATTTAGCGAGCAGAAAAAAGGCGGCATTTCAGGCAGAGTGTGTAGTATGGCCTTTGAAACTGCAGGTCAAGAGCTTGGGGTTTTCGTGGGACAGTGCAAGTGTGGAGGTGGCTGTGGCTTACATTGTATGTCAGTATTGATGCCCCTGTCTTAGCTCAGGCTGCTCTAGTAAATTACCACAGACTGCATGGCTTACAACAGACACTTATTTCTCACAGTTCTGGAGGCCAGGCAGTCCAAGATCAGGTGTCGGTGGATTTGATTCCTGGTCCGAGCCCTTGTCCTGGTTGGTAGACGGCTGTTGTCTTATTGTGTCTTCACATGGTGAAGAGAGACTTGTGAAACTTGTGGCTCTAGGAGTAAGAGTGGGGTTGGAGAAACGCTTTTTCTACCAGTTAGTTAGTGACCACAGCAGAGAGTACTGAGAGGACAGCGACCCCATTAACCACTCTCTGGTCCAAGGACATAACTGCGGGGCCTGTCCTATCACAGTAACACACACTGTGGATCTCACAACATAAGACAGTTCATTCTTTCAAACAATAATAAAATTATTCTAGTTCTAAATATGGAATGAACAGCCTTTATAGTTGCCCAAATTTGGGTGTCTTTTAGGAGAAATATACAGATTGTTTTTGTTGTTAAAAATCAACTTTTTAAAAACTTAAGTAAAGACTTGCCAAGAATAGAGTACAACATGAAAGTGTAAAAAAAAAGTATATGAATCACAAGTTGGGACGAATATAGACTGTTTTGGTGCATGTATAGTTTATACACTAGACACAGTTTTGTTTCTTTTTAATGCTTAAAATATTTTAGGTTTCCTGTTTGCTTGCAATCCAGGGAGAGTATATTGAGTTCCCTTTTTATCGGGTAGATGTGAAAAGGTAGAAAGCTCTTTTTATCGTTGTGCAGTGTCCACACCCATCTGAAGGGTGGTCCCCTTTATCTTTACATCCTCAATAGGTGAGCCATGGGGTGGAAGCAGGCCACAGGTTCCTGGAGCAAAGGCCCAAGTGCCCGTGGGAAGGGTCTGCTGAGACACTGCTGTGGAAACGAATCTGGTGACTTAGACATTTTTTCTGACAGGCGGAGCGGGGCCCAGGCCTCTGCACAAAGGGAGACACACTTTTCCTGCCCATCTGCGCACAGCTTTGTGGCACCTGCAGAGAGGCGTGGCCTGAGTTCAGCAAAGAAGGTGCAGGAAAACTGGGCGCTCTGGCTTCAGAGTTGATTCTCCTCTTTGCAGTACATGTGACCAGAACAGGGTCTTTCAAGAAGAGGAGGAGAAGGGAAGGGGAGGGATGGCAGGTCAGACTGAGATTTCATTACACCGGGTCAGACATGGCTTTAGGTAAAATAATAGCGGAAATACAGCTTTTATTCTGTACCTAGCTGTACTCAGAGAGCTGATCGCGAACGCGGGAAGCTTGTCTTTAGAGCTGCGGTGTAATCCCGGTGCAGAGATGCATCGCCCAGCTGGCGCTGGGCAGATTACTGGCTGGTAATCCTTCCTTGTCCTAGAGGATTAGGTCTGCCCTGGTGTCGTTTTGGTCAGCTGACTGGTTTAAAAAAAACCCCAACCTGGTAGTTTCTTATGACAGTGCCCGTGTGGCGTTGCTGGAACTGGCCGTACCTGTGGGCGGCGGCGCAGGACCTGGCTCTCCTTTGTTGACCCAGGAAAGCGCCGCTCCCACCGCTGGTTCCTTGTTGGCCCAGTGAGCAGCAGGTGGGGAGCAGAGCCCTTCTGACGTCGCTGGGAGGAGTCATTTCTCAAACCAGCCTGTGTGACCTGTGGGTGTGAGGCTCTGGAAGGAAGCCCCTGGGCCAGGAGGCCGCTCTCTAAATCCAGGGTGGACTCTTCGGCCAGGCGGAGATGTGGCCCGAAGCTGAAGGACACCCGCTGGTGGCCAAGCCATGCGCTCTGCACTCTGGAATGGACCTCGGGACAATGGAGCCCGACGAGGACTACCAGTCCCCCTTTGATTTTGCTGCCGGGGTGAACAAAGAGTACTTGTACCTGTCTCCCAGCGGACACCCATCGCCCCCTGGATCGCCTGTTCTGCAGAAACTTGGTAACATGAGTTTTCCCAAGTTCACTTGGCTGTAATAAAACCTGGACCCCACGCGGGGTTGGCCTGGCTTTGAAATGATCAGTGTAAAGATGGATCAGGGTGTTGAAACTGGTGAACAGAGCTGTTACAGATTTCAGCACAGAGACAGATGGCTCCCCACATATGTAGTTTGTGCATATAGGTGTCCATGCAGAATGTGTGCGTGGGCCTTAGATCTCCAAGGTGGTACTGTTCATATGAGCATGCGAGTTCTGATCGCTCTGAATTCATGGGGCTGATAAATAATCAAAAAGGGGGGAGCTGAAGGCCTTTGTTTCCAGCCACCTGTATACTTTAGGAAGACTCCTACCCCGGATTGTCTTTGCTAAGATGACAACATTCCAGGCCCTCCTTATGAAGGTGCCTCTGGATTCGGTTCTGGAGTACTGAGATCAACATTCAAAAGTACCCAGGCAAGAGTTTTTTTAAGTAGAAAAACTCTAAGTGGCTGTTTCTTTGGTCATTCCTGCATCCAGCTGTGTGAGTGTTCTGGGGGCCAGGCTACAGTCAGGGGTCTGGGTTTGAGCGTTCTGGGGGCCTGGCTGCAGTCAGGGGTCTGGGTTTGAGTGTTCTGGGGGCCAGGCTGTTGTCAGGGGTATGGGTGCATGAGCACTGGCAGCATAGAACTGGGCACAGCCTGAGCCACCACCCAGACCAGTCCTCTCGTCACAGCTGACACTTGGTGACAGGGAAATGACTTCCTCTGTAACTTGCCAGAGAATTAAGCAGATTTTCCTAGAAGTTCATTTTTTTCCTTATAACATTTTGCTCTTTGTAAGCTTAAAAGGTAGGTAATTTAGGAAACAACTAGTAAAGGATCCAGCATGAAACCAGGTCATCAGTGTTCAGGTTGCGGGTTTGCAGTCTTCCTCTGAGGGATTGCTGGCAACCTGTAGCCACCCTTGGGGTGTCCTTTGGATTTCCAGGCAGGGGAAATGTGGAGAATACCAGTTAGAGCTGGTCTCTAGAAGTTGGGGGCTGGTAGGCAGCAGTGAGGTATCCACTGGGGCCACCTAGGACCTCTGTCACAAGGGGGAGGTCACCCCTATGCCTGGCCCCTAAACAGATGGAGCATCCTGACTTCTAAATCCTGTGTGCAGAAAATACTTCAAAGGCAACACACATGGGAATGGGGAAGCTTGAGCTCCGTGACAGAGTGAGGCCCAAGTGACAGGGCCGTGGAGGCCAGGACCATAGTCACCTGACTTCAGGTCGAGCTTGGGATCAGCGTGCAGGGGTGTAGGGCATGTGAGGTCCCAGGAGGGTCGGTGCTGCCAGTCTTAGTTCCTGTCTGTTCTCTTCTCGTTGGATCTGTCTCAGCTCCTTCCTTTCACTTTCCCTGTTGTCTCAGTTGCTGCCTTTGGATGTTTTTTGTTAAAACAGAAGCGGCGGTGGGGCTGGGTATGTCCCCGGGCACATTGGCAACAATTAGTATTGCAATTCCCAGGAGCAACCTGTAGGGGGCTGGGCTCATGGGGTTAAAAACAGAATTATGAAACAGCAAGCGACCAACAGAAACCAAACTCAGGTACCCACCAGTGCTCAGATTTAGCGGTTAGCTTCAGCTGGAAAAAAGGAGGGGAGAGAGCATTAAAACAAACAGAAACCACCATAAGCGGTGGCCTAGTAAGAACATGGTGATTCTCCAGTATGCAAATGGAGTGGGGACCTGGATTAGTCATCCCCAGTCTCTGTTCCTGGGGCCCCTCAGGGCGCACGTAGCCTGCCATCCGTTTGAACATCAGCTGATGTGTGGGGTCTAGATGGAATGAATCCTGTGTCTTCCGTGTGTTGGTTCTTTGTGTATATGTAGGAGCTCTCAGGATGGATCCATCACCGGTCCATTTAAAAGCTTGTGTGGCTTTTAGCGGCTATGCATTTTCTTAATCAGCAGACAAGTAGTGCTCATAAAAGGACTGACGTTAAAAGGAATCCTTCTCAGAAAGGTTGGGGATGAGGGTCTGAAACACATATTCTTTGATATTTATCCAAAATGCCGTCATGGGGCCAGTGAGAAAATGATAAGATTTAATCTATGGGCATAGTGTTCCTAAGAAGCAATCTGCATGCAGGATAGGATGGGGGCCAGTGGCTGGAGCAGAAAGAGGTCTTTATCAGGTCGGTACAGCCAGCTCACATTCAGAAGTGCCTTAGACTTCTTGATCCCCAGCCCTTGTCAATGCAAATGTCAATGGCCGGAGCAGAACTTACCCTTCCCATGTGTGGTGAATTCTGAGATTTTAAACTGCCCCACTGATTCCTTTAAAAATGCTCATTTGGTCCTGCTAAGTGAGTTTCACAACCCATAGGCTGAAAAACACTGATTTCTAGTAAGTTTCAGAATCTGGAATATAAGCTCCATTAGGGATGCCAGTCTTTGTTGTTCACTGTTTTCCTCAGCACCTGGAATAGTGCTTGACACCTGTGGCTTGACAGATATTTATTGAATGAATTAATGGATGGATAGCGAATGGATGGATGATTGAATGACATGGCGTGAAACTGGCAGACTAGTTCACACTCCAGTCCATTTTACAGATGTGAGCATTGAGGCCAAGAGAGGTGTTGTAAATTCCCCACACCACGAAGCTCAATTCTTAAGCCAGTGTTTGGTTCGTTGTTTTTTTTTCTTTAGTTCCCACTATTTTGTCCTTTGTGGTAAGGAAGTTATAGAATAGGTTACTCTGGTCAAGGGTTTTACTGGAGGGTGGGGGTGTTTTGTTGATTCTTGATGTGCCATGTGGACCTCAACATTCTGTTTCCAGTCTGCAGTGTTCGATCAGAACAGGCGTGTCCAAGGTTGGTAGCTGGGGTCCTTTGTTTCATTTTCTCTTTCCTTCTGTGATCACCTACAAGGATAATTTCCCTAATGATATTTACGTAGGATCTCTCTTCCTCTTAAGAATTTTCTGGTGTACAGAAGGATGCAGCTGCAATAATCACCTTGGGTTATTTCTAGTGATTGCAGGAAATAGGAGCCATTTAAAAATCTGACATATTAGTTTTATGCAATCATTTTAAAACCTAAAAGCACTGAAAAAAACCCCACGAAACGGAAATTCCTTAGCTCAGGGTCGTCCTTGTCGCTGTTTTATTTCCCTTTGTGATTTCTGCTCTGGGTCGTGCTCTTCCGTTTAGGGAAGCAGTGATCACTTCTTGAAAGTTTTTCATGATTGTAAAGGTCTTAAGAAGCAAACATGTCTGTGGTTTGCTAAGTAAAAATCAGCACAGAATTAAAGAAATGTAAACCCTCCTTTTACTTAGAGAGGAAATTGAAGAGTAGAAGTGACTTCCTCCCTGGGGACCCCCAATCTCTACATGGCTGACCTCTCGCTTCTCTTTTGTGGGGTGCCCCCTTATGAGTTTTACACTGATTAGGGTTTTGGAGAATGATGGTTCCAAAGGCATTGACTGATTTTTATTTTATTTTATTTTTTTAAGATGAAGGAGATTTAAGGGTCCGTTTAGGAATACCTGGAGGAGGCAAGTCAAGCATTTGGAAGTACTGATGTGTTCTGCCTTTGCGATCTCTTCTTCCCCCACTGTTTCTGTGAGGGGTCTTTGGGAGGTGAAGTTTTGGGGGGGGCAACCTTTTCTGGGGTAGGGAGTTGAGTGCTGTTCAGGCGCTGCTGTCAGAGCTGGTCTCAGGAGCAGGTCTGGGCCTCCAGTTCCCTTTCCCTTTGTGCTTTAGTGCCCTGTGCCCCCCTCCTCAGCCCCGCCCCCGCGCAGGGCATCTCCTGGGTTCTTGGGTCTTCCTCAGGTGGGTTGGGTCAGGGATCCTCAGCTTTCCTGTTTCTGGTTCCTGCTGCCTCCACTCCAGCCGCCTATCTTTCTTGCTAATGGTTTTACTGATCTCACCCTGGACAAACACGGGAAAATGACAGCTTCAGGAACTGAAAAGTCTCCATGGCTTGTGCTCCTGAATCTCTTCTGAAGAGAATCGGTGTGAAACAGGAGGTAGCAGATGCTCTCTTGCCTTAAGTCCCTGGGTTTCCCCTGGGGCAGGCGTGTTGTTCCCCCACCTTCCACTTTGGGCATTTGGCCACTTCAGGAGCTGATGTTGAGATGACTTTGGTTGTCATAGCTGGATGCGTGGAGGGACTGCTACTGACATCGAGCGGGCAGATGCCACCACAGTTACCTGGCTCAGGATGTCCATCATGCTGTGGCAGAGAAGCCCTGTCACGTGGGTCCTTTGTACTCAGGGCCTCTGAAGAGGAACTGCTTTGGTGTGGGGCCCTCCAAATGTCCCCCGTGTCTCCTGAGGTTCTGTTACATCTGGAAACGAAGACCAAGGCATAAGCATGGGAGCCCCAAGCACACACTTATACGGGGAAAAATAGCTTTACCTTGTGATCTTTTTGGATATTACCACCAAAGATATTTTGAACTATAAGTTTTACCTCTTTTTGTGTCTCTAGGTTTAAAAAAGGATGTTCATATTTCCTCTTGTTTGTGCTTAAATAAAACAGTCCTTAGAAACTGAAGTTTCTTATTCCTACTCAGGTCTTCAAACCATTTTTGCCTCTTTGAAGACTAAGAGAGGTGGATACGGTTTTGTTGCCAGAGAAACTTCTGGGGCTTGATTATAACTCTAACCGATTAGTCTTCCCTGTTAGAGGTGGCCAACATCATATTGCCCTTTCTATAATGTCATGTGTGCCCCACTCAGGCCGCCACTGTGCGCTTCGCTCCGTATGCACCTTCTCTGTAACATGAAGACAGGTGGCCTGCTCTGAATGTAACAATCTTTGGATAGGTTATGAGACAGAAGTTGTATTTATTTATTTATTTTCCACAAAAGTGACATTTTACCCCCTGCCAGGGCTACTCAGTGGTTGAGCATCGACCTATGATCCAGGAGATCTCTATTCGATTCCCGGATCACATGCCCGAGCTGCAGGCTTGATCCCTAGCAAGGGAGACGTGCAGGAAGCGTCTGATCAATAACTCTCTCATCA